CTTTTGATTTTACATAAAATAAAAATTATCAATAAAGAAATAATTACGTCTCTTTTCATATAATGCTTGAGTGCGCTGTGAAAAATCCAATGAAAATCTTTTTATATTACACATAGTATCTGCATTTTTCCCGTTAAACTGCAAAACTTGTGCATTTCACTCTTTATTATAAAAAAGTTTTCCTAAGTATGATATAGCATTTGCGATCAACAAGATGTTGGTTCTGAATACGACCCTGACCAATTCTTGGGATTTTCAATATCACGTGCGTAGGGCATATCAATGTTTACATCCACTCTATCTTGGATTTGAATTTGCTTTAGCATTTTCATGGCTTTATTGATAGCCGTGGGTATATGTAGACTGAAGCTCAAGGTGGGATCAAGAACAACCCCAAGGTCTTTTATTTGAATAACAGACTCCAAGACATGAGCATTAAAAGTGTAATCAAAAGTGGTAGAAGGTACATGGGATTGATAAAAGCGCATGACATGGCACTTTGTGGTATTCAAGTCCATGCCATTTGAGGAGCACCAGTTTGATAGACTGTCAAGGTCAGACTGAAGCTTATGGGCATCCAAAAAGGTTCTAATAATTAGGAAAAGTTTTAAATCATCTGCAAATAATAGTGCTTTGGCGCGCCGTAGGCAATGAATAATGTCGTTAATAAATAAATTGAATAATAAGGGACCGAGGTGTGACCCCTGAGGGGGTGAACACATTAATATAAAAACCGAAATATCACATAAGTATCGTACTGAAGGCGTTCTAAGGGCGGTGCCTGTGCGAAAGTAGCGATTCACTTAGGATTTGAATCGCTGGAGACTGAATTTATTTGGAAAAACGTTCTCAGAAAGTTTATTGCACGTAAACGCAGTTCTCCAAATGAAAGAGTTCTTAATCAAATGAATGTGTCTCTCAAAATGGACCCAAAAATAATCTCCTCAAATATTAGCTTCAAAGAACACCCTGTACAATATTCATATCAAAATATGCTACTTGGATAAGAATACGTGTAGATAGATTCAAAGAAATTTTGGCCTTACCCTTGTATGTGAAATATTCCTCTGTGTTCCAAAGATTCTTCAGGAATATTAATCAAATCTATTTCAGCAATATCAGCTACTGAACTAAGGGCACGTCCAGGATACTCCCAGAGAGGTTGAGCCTCCACATTATCATCACTTATCTTGCAGGATTCCTGTAATCAAGAATCAGTTATGTCGATATGAGGTTTTTGAAAAAATATTCAAAAGTTATTTTGAGGATAAATTGATAGATGTAGCCGTTACTACGTGGTATGAAATCATAATGAAGAAAAGACAATTGAAACTTTCTATATTTTTTCCCAAATAAAAGTGGTAAAAACATAGAAAGTTTCAATTCTCTTTTCTTCATTATTTTGAGAAATTTCTATTTCTTTTATAACTATTTCATATTCATAGTCATACACAGTGCCAACTCTCATACTTTCTCAAATATTTCATCTCACCCTCTCACTGTTTGTTTTGGCTTTCTACTTTTCCGATAATATATAAAGAATGGAAAATTTATACATTACACACACGATCGGAAGACCGTGGGTTCGATTCCTGCCTCGACCAGATATTTTTCTCGAGAGAATTTATCTGGTTGAAGCTGGGATGATTCTGCAACCGTGTTAGGAATCACACGTTGAAAGGTAAAACCTCGTTAGTTCTTAGCTCGCACAAGTTTCTCTACTTCTGAGAGTTGTCGTTCGTATGGGGGCGACAGCTGATTATAGGAAAAACAGATTTTAAACAGATTTTTTTTCAAACTGATACATTATATGAATAACTCTCAATCTTTAAGTGGACATTCAGGCGTTTCAGGAAAGACAAGTTTCAACTCCTTATTACCTTTTAGATATCTCTGAAAGACGTTATGTACCGCTCTTGGTGGAATTAAATGTGCCAAGTCAATTTAACACCTCCCGCGAAAATATCTATGAAATAGAGACAAATCTCTAACCTTTCTTCAAATTTCCAGACTATCAAAGTTACAGGTGATGTTCGGGTCTCCAATCAGATGAATGGCTCTGTTCTGTATGGAATCCAGCAGCTTCAGGGTATGCTCAGGGGCGGAGCTCAATACATGAGAACAATATTCCAAAGAAGGTTTAATCTGAGCTTCATAAAGCATCAAAAGTTGCTGAGATGTGTACAGTTTTCTGGTTCCAAACAGTAGTACAGCTTTTGAGAAGCAACCTTTGCAATTCCAGCGACATAATTTGTGACAAGACATATTGGTGTCCATTTCAAACCCCAACAAACCTATCTGACATTATTATATCTGGTTCGAAGACATTTAACTTTTTGGAGAAAACCGGTGCCTTGTTTTCGTGGCACTGAATTGAATCTGGTTACTTTCAACGCAATCCAAATGGAATGACGAGACAATCGTCATCAAAGCAATATATTGGATTCCTGTTTTTTCCAATATATCGTTTATATACAACAAAATGAGGGATGGAGACAATATGGATCCCTGAGGATCACCAGCGTTGATGGTAAAAGTATTGAAGAGATATCCATCAAAGACCACTTGCACGAAACCCTCATGCCACACACAGTCGAAGGCCTTAGAAATATCAAGCGTAACAGCTCTTGACTTTTCATGTTTCTCAATTTCGTACAACCCTGATCCAAAACAAAAACTTCTCCCAAACACCAGAACTCAATACTTCTTTCAAAGCGTGTACCAACCAAGTTGGCGTCTTCAAGGGATAAAGAAAACTAATTCCTAACTCTGAAGCTGGTATCTATTCAATTTCAGACAGTTTTCATGAATTCTATGGCCGTTCTTCAAGGCGTGTTAAGTGACACTAGATTTTTCTGGCCTCTGAAATTGAATATGTGCTGTGTTTTCTTTGAAACGATTTTCAATGGCACGTTAGTCTGACCAATATATTCTTTATCACAGTTTCGTCCGATATTTCATTTATCAAAACCTTTTCTTTGGGGTAACCTACTATTTATTAAGTATTGAGTTTGGATTCATTTGTTTTATCATTATTTATTTCTAAAACCATTAAGAACATGCTCTACTCTTTTTCAATTTTTATGTCTCTCCAATATGTTCAAAAATTATAAAAAGGCAGGTCCCAGAATAGATTCCTATGGATCTCCAAAAGTTATCAGGAAACTCTATGAATGCTCACCTGTTGATATCGTCTGTGTGAATAGGAGACGATTAACTGTAGTGGTATGCCCCGGACTCCATACAATTCTTATATGTTTAAAAGATAGTTATGTATGATGCAATCAAATGCCTTTGATAGGTCCTACATATTAGCACATGTATATAGGTTTTTGTCGATTGTTTCTATGATTTTTTTCATAATAGAAATAATTGCTTTTGTTTTTGATTTATTTGTTCTATAACCATAGTGATCATTGGGGAAGAGTTGGATATCTTCGAAATATGACATAAGAATTCTAAATATTTAGAGAAGACTGGAAGAAGTAAGATCGGTCTGGATAGATTAATGTTATTATTATCCTTTGTTTTCGAAAAGGAACTACTTCAACAAGATGGTTCAACAAGTTTTAATTCGTCTGGAAAAATACCGTATTCTGAACATATATTGATAATATAGTACAAAACTGAAGCTAAATCATCAGAAATGAATTTGACAACCTTCAAGTTCAATCCATAAACTATTCTTGTCCATTTCTCTCAAGTCTCTGAAAAACACTGCAGCTTCGTGGGTTTGTTGCATTTTCCCCCATCTTTTTCATGACACCTATACCAACAATCTTGTTCCGTGTACTAATTTGTTCATTTTTGTATGTCGCTTTCTTTCGGACATAATTTGGGTTGTCCAGTGCCTCACATTTGCATGAAATGTAACGAACTGTCTCTGTCCCTTTGTTGCATTGCCTACAGCTAAGCTTTCCGTTGTAGAGCCCAATTTTGTTCAGGTGTCCTCTCAATGAACAGTGTCCAGTGAGTAGATCTGTAATTGTTTTGAGCTAATTTCTGCTGAAGCAATTTTTCATTTAAGTCCAGACTCGTTTGCCTCCCTTGAAATTCATGACATTGGACTATTGAATCCATAATTTATTGAATGTAAAAATGTACAGTACAATAAAAATGGTATCATCGTCCCTAGTTTCTCTTTGTCTCACTCTAAAATTTAGTGACCTACTAACAATTTGAATAGAAGCAATAAATCTGTTCATATTCCCTTATTTTCCTAAGTTGTCAAATGGAGGATTGAACATATGCCATTATGGTTGTATAACGTCCCATTTTGTAAACAGTAGTCCTCAGGAATGTATTAAGGACTCTTTTCAATATCTTAAAATCCACGTGAGAAGAAGGCCACACAATTCATGCATACGCTAAGTTTGATCTCATAAGTGAATAATACAAAATTCTCATTGTATCAACAGAGGAGTCCTTACTGATTTTAGATACAGAGCCTAAGAGTTTTAGTGATTTGAGTATAATACTACTAATATAAGTTTTGAATGTCAGTTTTCCATCAAACATAATACCGAGATCTTTAACTTCCTCAACTTGGTTCAAAGACAGGGAGTTTATACAACATTCAAATGTAATAGGTGACTGGGAGCAATTAAAGCACATTACTACTACACATTCATCTAAATGAAGATCCAAGTAATTCTTTCTACACCCATCAGTTGATTGGTTTATATCAGATTGAAGTCACATACAATCATCATAGGATTCAATCTGACGATATAACTTAAAATCGTCTTCAAAAAGTAATCCGATTCAGTCAATGATGTGGGTAGATAGATCATTAATAAAAAAGTATTTGATAGTAAAGATTCACAATGACTCTCTTGGGGAACACCAGAGAGAACATTGATGGTTTTCGATATATAATTGTTGATCCTCACCCACTGAATTCTACCCAATAAGAAGCTCCTAACCCAAGATAAAATACTGTCCCCCCCCTAAATCCAAAAGCTTTTAGTTTATCAAGTAAGATTCTATGATTATCTCCATCAAATACCTTTGAGAAATCAGTGTAAAATTGAATGAACTTCACACCGACACTTCAAAGTATCCAATATGTTCTTCTGATAAATCAGCAGATCGGTCACAGATTTCTATTGAATTCCCCTAATTCTTTCCACATTGTCCATGCGATTGTAGGCAAATTTTCATTTCTACCTCTTGAATATTGATAACTAATAAAAAAATACAAACTACACCTGAGAATTCAAAAGTAATCTAAAAAATAACAGGTTTTCAAGCAGAATATCAATGAGCTGGGAAATATTTTACTAACCTCGATAAGCTCATCAAAATTTTTCATCAAGAATCCTTCACAGCTTCTGAGGGGACTTCTAATTTTGAACAAATCTTTGAAATGAACAGCCACACCTCTAATATGTGCTTTCTTTGGAAATATTTGAGCATCATCAGCAACAAATTTTGTCATTCCTTTCAACAGATAAAGGAACATTAAGTTATCCCACGGCAAAATACTGGTAATGTAGTATGGTTCACCCAAAACTATATTTACATCTCTGAGATTTACTTCCTTCAAATTATCCAAAGATGGAATTACAGTAACATTTTCAATTCTGTTGACTTTGATATATTCCTCCAAAATTTTCCTGGATATGCGATTGGTTTCTACAAAAAATATATTTTTTGCTCCAAGTTTCGCAGCAGAAAGAGCTAGAAAGAATCCATCACTTACAACGAGAATTTGGCTTTCACTATTAACATATTTTTCAAGGAGCGCAATATATTTTTTGTTTCTTCTAGAATCATTCATTTGACCTATCCTTGTCCGTGAAAATGTTATATGTATACCACATTCACAAATGGGGTTCAAATAATGAGTATTCGAAATTCTCAAATCCTCAACCAGATTGAACCACAAAGAATATTCGTCATGACAGCTTAATAAGTTTATTTCTTGGTCCTTATGAACACATACTTCTTTAGGTAAGTAATATACAGCTTGCATCCAATGATCACGCCATGGTATGTCAATATCATTTTTTGTTTTTGACGCAGGATGGGCCCAGCAAGGAGCACAACTAAGGATTATTTTTCCCTCTGTGTCCATTTGCAATTCCCACCACATAAATACAGCTTGTGCTTTACCATCTTGTTTAGCTTTGACAGTGTTGATAGTTGACCTTTCATAAATGAAAGGAGTTCTACCTGACCAATCAAAACGTAAAACAGGTAGGGGAGCAACTATCGTATTGAACGAGTTCAAAGGTAGTTGACTAAGTTGAATGTCATGTACTGCAGTTGAACCAGCACAATTTTTTATGGATTCTGGCACTTTTATCAAACTTTCACCATCCATATTGAATACATCTTTCACTTTGTTCCAATTCTGCACTAGAGGACACTCAACGACCTGAGCATATATTGTGGCAGACTCAGGAACTACTATAGAATCTCTCTCCAGTAAGTTTTTATGAGCATGACTGAACGTGGAAAGTGCACCTTCTCCTATTAACTCTGTATCAAAAACTTCTGTGACCAATATATTGCACCTCTCTCTCAAATCACCACCTTCCCCAACAGTCAAATCAGTAGATCTTTTCGGTATAACACGAATTCTATCTTGGAAACCATTTAGTTCAATTATTTTCAAAGCACAGTCGCTCATAGGCTTGAAAGCTTCACATGCAATAACAGAATCTGCCCCATTTCGTGCTGCCATCATGGAGAGCAATCCTGTTCCTGTTCCGATGTCCAAAACGTTGGCATTTTTTCCCTTTGCATGTGTCCTGTCGATTGCATCTTTCAAAGCCTTCTCATACAGTTGATTTCTTTCTGTATCATGGAGCATATCAGCAAAAGCTGATCTAGCAACTTCTTGGTGGTAATCATAACTTTCATTTTGAACTACCCAATCATTAATTCCTGTGATTGGATTCAACTTCTGAACAAAAACGCTCATTTCTGAAAAATGTATTCTATTTAAACGGAGAGCATTGGAAAAAAACAGTTTTGAAATTAAAAGCATGCGAGACAAGGTTATATTTACAATATCACAGAATAATAAACTCTCAAAATACCTACTCCTAAGCGCGGGAAAGATAAAGTCACAGATTACAATCCCAGAGTATTTTATTACTCTGAGATTACAATGTTGTCATCTGTTAGATGACTAACTGTTATTTTGAAACTACATTCTCATAGTTGTTAGGTTTTTTCCTCAGAGTATGTCTTATTATTACTCTGAGGTCTTTTCTATGTTTATGACATCAAACAAAACATTCGTAATTTGAATTTCGTGGTGTGTACAAAAATTGATGAAAACACCATTCCGTCCCATGCATTGTTCATGAAATTATTCTAGTGTTTTTTTCTAGGAGATTCCAACATTCTATTGAACTTCTATCAACACTAACGACTGAGAAATCCGTGAAACTACTAATGAAATTCAATATAAGAGAATGTTCTATTGAAATTGGGAGAATGAATTTTGTTCCAATCGTATTTGCTGAAAATTGTACGTAACTTCCTATACGTAACAGTAATTAATTTCGTTTGGTCGGAACGACCACCGATAGACCGGTTTCGGGGTACTTGCTGGTCTATCGGTGGTCATCCCACAGAACTATCTAAGATATAGTTCTGTGGGTCATCCCGACCAAATGAAATTAATTACTGGTAACGCCTGAAAATTGCTGAGTAAATCATGCTCATGTTTTCAAGCAGAATATCAATGAGCTGGTGAATATTTTACTAACCTCGATAAGCTCATCAAAATTTTTCATCAAGAATCCTTCACAGCTTCTGAGGGGACTTCTAATTTTGAACAAATCTTTGAAATGAACAGCCACACCTCTAATATGTGCTTTCTTTGGAAATATTTGAGCATCATCAGCAACAAATTTTGTCATTCCTTTCAACAGATAAAGGAACATTAAGTTATCCCACGGCAAAATACTGGTAATGTAGTATGGTTCACCCAAAACTATATTTACATCTCTGAGATTTACTTCCTTCAAATTATCCAAAGATGGAATTACAGTAACATTTTCAATTCTGTTGACTTTGATATATTCCTCCAAAATTTTCCTGGATATGCGATTGGTTTCTACAAAAAATATATTTTTTGCTCCAAGTTTCGCAGCAGAAAGAGCTAGAAAGAATCCATCACTTACAACGAGAATTTGGCTTTCACTATTAACATATTTTTCAAGGAGCGCAATATATTTTTTGTTTCTTCTAGAATCATTCATTTGACCTATCCTTGTCCGTGAAAATGTTATATGTATACCACATTCACAAATGGGGTTCAAATAATGAGTATTCGAAATTCTCAAATCCTCAACCAGATTGAACCACAAAGAATATTCGTCATGACAGCTTAATAAGTTTATTTCTTGGTCCTTATGAACATCTCCGAGATCTGACTATTTATAGGTCATTCGAGTGCTTTCACCCAACCTCTTTTCCCTCTCTCCGCTTCATTGGTTTTAGCGGGAAATGACCGTTTGGCGGGAGATGGTAGTTTTTCGCTTGATTAGAAGTTTCCGTATCATGTTACGTATCCCTACGCTAGCTTGACTAAATGCGTTGTTGGACAACATATACGCAGCATCCTTGAATTTTCTCCTAAACCTGTGTTCCTCTTTGTTGATGATTTCAGCTTGAGCCCACTTGATGTTATATTGGTGAGTCCAAACATGCTCTGCTATTCCCGATTTGCTGGTTTCTCCTCGCTGGTTACTCCAGAGTGATGGTAGAACAGTATTTTGCTAGAAGACAGCAGGAGCCTCACAAGGAAGAGAAGCCGCCACAACCAATACTTGTACTTCCCTACATCAGAGGATTATCAGAAAGGATAAGAATTGGGTCCAAGTATAACCTCAGGACCTGCTTCAGATCTGGGAACACTATCCGTAGCAGCCTCACAAAAACCAAGCCATCAAACGCGGACTGCGATTCCAAGAATTGCATTTACCGGATACCCTGCGAGTGCGGAGAATCATACATCGGTGAAACTAAGAGGCCATTGAAAGTTCGCATTGCTAAGCACAAGAAATAACACACACAATTTACATTAGCTTAACGATTATTACTTTAAATTTTATTACAATGTAATGCATGTAGTATTCTTGAAAATTCAGTGGAAAAGGTGATATCTACTCTTGGGTAATTACTAATCCAGAAAATTTTCCGCTTCTTCGCTGGGCGGGTACATAGTTTGTTCCATTGGTTTACATGTTACATGAACAACCAGAGCACTGGAAATTACCCTCAGCACGAGCTCGTTAAGGTCATGCTTCTGCAGTGTTTGGCAGGATGGTGGCGTCTAAAGAGAAAATATAAATGTTATCTTATTCATTTTCATCATTCAGTAGTGATGATGAAGTTATTGAAATGATGGTTAAAAAACCCGTGGAAAAAATTAAAAACTTTTCATAAATGACAATAATTACTGTCAGGAATATTGAAATAAACTGTAAAAAAGTGAATGATAGTCGAAAGAGTTTTCCTTCAGTATCGGCAAAACTTCAGAAATAAGAAGGAAACAGCTTTCCTGGTGACTCATAAATTTAAGTACAACACTCTGTATTCCTAAAATATAACTCACGGAAATATACCATAAAATTTAGCAGCCCCACACTGGACATTTCTGTTAGGTATATAATTTATCGACTCTCATCAACTCAACTTTGAATCAGAGACTTGATAAGAATGTGGTAACATACATGTTCGTCATTTTGATTTCATTCAGGCTGGAGCCTAGCTCCCCTATACCCTTTAGACTGGATTTTGTCAGAGTGATGGCGGCATGAATGTCCTCAGACATCAGTACCGCCCTTCGCGGTGTATTCCTACCTGGCTGGGGTGAGATGAATGAAGATATTATTCATCTATTAACGGAGGACATGAGGGCCCCATTCGAAAGAGTGTCGGGGCCTTCTATATCGGGAGGTGTCGTCTACAGCGTAATCTATAGCTTCCTTGACTAACGGATTATCGCAAGTTTCCGCACAATCGAAAACTATTTGAGGAGCACCAGTTTGATAGACTGTCAAGGTCAGACTGAAGCTTATGGGCATCCAAAAAGGTTTTAATAATTAGGAAAAGTTTTAAATCATATGCAAATAATAGTGCTTTGGCGCGCCGGAGGCAATGAATAATGTCGTTAATAAATAAATTGAATAATAAGGGACCGAGGTGTGACCCCTGAGGGGGTGAACACATTAATATAAAAACCGAAATATCACATAAGTATCGTACTGAAGGCGTTCTAAGGGCGGTGCCTGTGCGAAAGTAGCGATTCACTTAGGATTTGAATCGCTGGAGACTGAATTTATTTGGAAAAACGTTCTCAGAAAGTTTATTGCACGTAAACGCAGTTCTCCAAATGAAAGAGTTCTTAATCAAATGAATGTGTCTCTCAAAATGGACCCAAAAATAATCTCCTCAAATATTAGCTT